ACTCTCAGGCTCAAATTTTGTGGTCAAATATTTCTAATGTGCTATTTTTACTATTAAATTGTGATTGCCTGCAACTTTTGCTTGGCCCTCATTCCTAACTYTTAGTGAAACTGTTGTCAGGAAGAAAAGGCACATGAATTTATAGAGCTGTGTTTGTGTGTACAAATGTGTATATGTAGAAATACTCCTTCCTCCTGAGGAAGCTCTGTGTATGGAGGCATCTGTGCTGATATCTGACCAAAGAATAAAAGTTTAAGGTAACCTAAAATGAATTTTCTGCAGATTTTTTTTTAATGAAAAATCATATATTTGGTTTAACATTGTGCAGGTTTCATCCAGTGCACACTTGGCAGGAATAATGGGAAATACTGAAAATACGTTTTGTCACTACATTAAATTAATGGATCTTAGTTGGGAGGGAAAATAAATAAGCAAAGGAATTCAGAACAGATTTACTAAAAGGGAATCATTTGTAAAAAGGATCCCTCGCCTAATATTATACTATTATCCCATGTATTCRTATTGCTCTTTTGCACATTATCTCCTTAATAAAAAGCATCATGTATTTCATTGCAGAAGTAATAACCATAGCGTCTTTCTAGAGACTAGGTTCCACTTGCTCACCTTAATTTATTAAATACAACTTAGGCCAATGAGGAAAAAAATCATCTCAATTTATTCCTTTTCATGGAGACTTGAGTATTTTGAAATCTCTAGCCTCTTCCCCTGTGATCTGTTTTGTGTTCAGAGGCTGTGTATCATAGTCTTCCTCTTCAATCGGAGCTCAGCACCTAACCATTAGCGCTGGCCATTGCGTTGAGCAGCGCCTGCTGCCTCCAGCTGAGGGGCTCCACTGTCTTCGCTCACAGGCACACAGATTAAATTGCACCAGATTCGTAAGCCTGCTTTTGAAAAAGGACTTAAACCTTTGGCATATCTTACGTACTGGTAAATGCAAAATGTTGCAGAGACAAATACTACTTGGTCCAGTTTATTTTGAGGGCTGAAGTAGCTGAAGGCAAGTCTCCTTCGCACAGTATGTCTGCCTTTTTTTCCCTAAGTTCTGTTTTAGCTGTGTACAAAGATGCAACATTGCAGACTTGAAAAGAAAGTGATTTTTATTTTCTGGTCAGGCATCAAATAAGTAAACATTTTTGAAATAAAAATATCTGAATCCCCAAACAGCAATTATATTCTAAAGTCCGTGGGTTGTGATTTCATTTTTCTTTAACAGCCGTTGTTTCAGATTTCCCTGCTGGTAGGCTTTGTTTTTATGAGGATATGGCACATGATAGGATTTGCGTTGTGCTTCAGGGAAGGAAAAACGCTGGACTCGTCAAAGCTAAAGATAATGACTGAGTGTGAGGAAAAAGGCTGTGTTTTCTCACGATAATTCCTTGCATTTACTATTATTTCATTGTTTAAACATTAACGGTTAGTGCCCTTTGCCTGTGAGTCTCTCTCAATACTTTGGCCCTGGCCTTTTTCTCAAATTAACCCCCAGCCAGTCTTTTTATTTGCTACTTRTGGGCATCTGTTACCTTGCATAGTCATTCACCTGGATTCGCTCAGAAGCCCTTATGCTGAAACTACTACTCATTAAGCACATACTTTTCATTTAATTGGGCTTTAATTGTGTGGCAGATGCACATAAAAGAGATCACAAAAAGTGGTATATATTTATAAGCAAATGTATTTAACTGTACACTCTTACTTGGGGCCTGTGGTTGCTAGCTAGCTGGAAAGTCTTTGCAGAAGACAAAAGCAGAGTGTTTTCTATTAAAATTTCAGTATATGCGAATGGCCAAGAAAAAGCCCAAAAAACACTTCAGTGTGTTTTCAGGCAGTTTTCCAGTASCTATTCCCAAAGAAAGGGGAGGAAAATAACAGGTTGGATTTTTGATTGTAATGATGTTTGTCACTCTTGTTCCTAGGCGCTTTTCCAGAGACCCAGAGGAGCTGCTTGGGTGTGGGGTCCGGGCAATTGGCTTTGGCCCTTGGAGGGTTTCTCCGGAGAGCTTGTTCCTTAGGCTGTCACTGAAGCCATTCAACTGAAGCTGTCGCTGAAGCTTGCCATAGGCCAAGGTGCTTCTCCTCTCACATCTGTCTCTGTGGCTTCAGGTCGAGCTCCTTTAGGTTCATGCTCTAGGTTTTCATGGAGAGAGCCAAGCACTCGCTGCCGCTGGCGCTTTGAGCTGAGCCCTGCGGTGGGACAAGCACATCTTTGGTGCGTGGTTATGCGTGTTGAGCTGCAAATGCAGAGCGTAATGCCAGAGCTCAGCAGCTGGCGAGCCCCTCCTCATCAACCAGAAGACTCAGAGGTCTAAGGAAAACAGGCACGCTACATGAGTGGGTTAACTTCATGCTTTATATTTCCTTACCACTCATTGCTATATACCCATTACTATATTTTCAAAGGAGCTGAGTTGTTCATAGCTTTGCAGCAATATTGCAGTTCTGGTACTGCTGCTGGGTTTTGTTATATACACAAATATATATATATGTAGACACTATATATATTCTATACTATATAACTATATATATGTGTGTGTGTGTGTATATATATAGTTTAGAAACCCTGGAAGTGTAGACAGCACTGAGATTCAGAACTGATGCTGCTCGCAACAGCTTTTGCATATAAAACACTGTTGTTAAAAAAAGTTCAATGTGTTTGTATCTTAACACTTTTTACATGATTTTGAAAGAATTTGGCTGTTGGAAAGCTGATACTGTTCCCCTGACACCTCTCGAGGGAAAAATGGTGTTTGATGGTCAAATGCAGCGTYGGGTTTGAGCTTTGAGTTCAGCTTCTTATCTTAAGTGATATTTTGCATCTCTCAATGTGCTCTTTAATAGAGTACCAGGATATGGAGGTATTCTTTGAAGTGTGTTTAGAAAATAGTGGAGATTAAATGTGGTACTGTGAAGCTAAGCTCTTACTTAAGCCTATGTAAATTAACTCAGTTTGGGTGTTAACATTCATAGAAGTTTAAAGAAATTGTAATAGGGAAAGACAGTGGAGGATGCTTTTCTAATTATAGATAGAAAGCTTCATCAGACCAATTTTAAAGTATATTGCCTTTCTTTCCCAAAAACTTTTGGGTATAGTGAGAAGAAAGAGGGCGAAAATGGAACAATCAGTGCACCATCTGTACAAAAAACAGCCCGTGGATGTTACAGTGAACAAGAATTTGCTTTAGTCCCATTCATCTTCCTTATGTAGATAACAACATTACTCATTTGTATTATGCTTTAGAACAATTGCACGCCGTGATGGATACATGYTGTTTATGTTGTTCTTTGTTTTTCGGCTAAGAGAAATATCAGGCATTGATGTCTTTGGCAACCACTCCGTTTGTGTAAGAAATACGATATGTTTATACGATATATTTATACGTGATTTGAAATCCAGCCATTATCGAGCCCCAGTATCTCAGCGATTTGGGGTCGTTTCTCTTCCAGGAGAAATAAGCAGCTTCCCCTGCAGCCTTGCGAGGCCRGCAGCCGTGGGGGAGAACGAGCCTCCCTCTTTAACACCTTCCATGGAGCTCACACGTACAAGCGCGCGCCGCCGCTCGCGCACCCCGGGTCACACTGGGGGTGAACGGGCCCTAATTAAAAGCCGTCACCATCTGCTGGTTAGCAGGGAAACCATCGCGGGGCCTGTGCTGGGAATGTTTTATTTATGAGCCCGGCCAGCAAAGCCGCCGCTTGGCTCCGGGATCCCGCATTAGGAGCTGCAGAGCACCATCTAACGGCATGGAGAGACCCTGGCTTCCAGCCTCACTCCTCCCTCCTGCCTCGGGCCCCCTCAACGCTTTGATTTTTTAATAYTGTGTGTGCTGTGKGGGGGGGTTATGATCGTGTTTCAGACACTCTCGTGCCTTGTGTTTCACTTGTACACAAGAGTGAGAAAAAGTCACTGAAATAGCCCTGTGTTTGTGTTGTTTGCAGCAACCTTCTTTTCGCTTTCAGCGCCAAACATAGGGTTTTATTTTCTGTAACAGATACGGTATTTATGTGCTGGTGGAAAATGGGAGATGAGCAAGATAGCTGAGTAGGATAAATTTGTCGCCTTTATTTTCCCCCARGCAACTGTGTAATGAAAGTTTCTGCTGCTCTGTCTGAAAACTGTGTTTTAATATTGAAATTGGCCCTGCTTTTTTTTGTCGAGCAGTGCACTGCAGTCTGCACAGAGATCCTTCACTGGCTTTAGCAAAGCCAAGAGACTGCAGATGACTGCAGCTTTGGACCTGCCTCTCTGGGAGCAGGGTCATRTTTCTGCCAGCCTGTCCCTGCAGAGCAGGGGCAGGGGGTGAGCAGGCTGGGCTGAAAGGTGTAATGTGCTTTTCCAGGAGAAGGAAGGAGATAGAGGGGAATGGACCCGTTTTGGCCAAGTTATCCATTGGGGTGGATAATTGATCCATCTCTCTGCCTTTGGTAACTATAAGGTTACAAAGGCAGAGCTTGTAAAAAAAATGTAATTTATTTAGTGGTTGTGACCAATGACCTTTAGAATACTATAAATAAATATAATTGCCCTGATTCATAATTATTTTGGGGATGGTTTGGGTGGTTTTATGTTTTTACGTTTGGGGACTTTTTTATGTCCTTGAGCTTTTTCCTTTATGCCAAGTGAGCATCCAGCAGCAGCAGTCCTGCAGCTTCAAGAAGCTTCTTGATATTGGCAGGTACAGCTGCTGCTTCATGGCAGTAACAAGCAGGACAATAATGAATGGTCTGAATACAAGAAATAGGAAACTTTTCTACAGAAAATGTCAGCAAAGCCCCTTTTTTAGCTAAAATGTATGGCCTTTGCTTCAGCTCAGGCAAAACAGGACCGTGAATAAAAAGATGTATTTAAAGTCTGGGTGAAGAATGTGTGTGTGTATTTTATTTATATACGTATGTGTGGGAAAAAAATCAACGTATTTTAAAGAATATTGAAATGTCATAACTATGGGACATTTACAAATACGTGTTCTCTTGTTTACACTTAGAATGTATGCCATCAGAAGGATAAGAGATGCTTTCAGAGAAAACAAGAATATAAAAGATACTGAAAAAATAGAAGAACTCGTGAATAAAGCAAAAGCAAACCTAGAGATTATTCATCGGCAGGTAGGTTTACTTTGTTTCATTCTTTYCAGCAAAGACTTTTTCACTCAGTCATTACAGATGGGAAAATAGATCCTTGCTCAAGATATCTTTGGATGAACACTGGTTTGTATGTCCGCTCAAGAGAGCACAGGGGAAGCCCGTGGTTCTCCTTGATTGCTGCTATATGGAATTTACTGACCCTTGTTGCACTGGCTTGAACAGGCCTTGCTGTCAAAAGTTTGTGTGGGCTTCCCTAACCTTCTCTGCTATGTTACTACATCCTCACTTTGTTCCTCTGTTCTGCAGTAATATGCTCACATATATTACACTTCCTTTTCCCATTTTGCTTTCTTTCCATCATGGGCTTAGAATCTTCACTCTGTGATCGCCACTCYTTGGTGTTTATTTTTCCCTTTGGTATTTATTTTTCCCCAACTCCAAATACTGTGTTGAAACAACAGCAGAACAAGAAAATTCTAAGGTAAATTAAAGAAGTCTTCATTAAATGTATCCAAACAGGGTGGTAGATTTTCCTTTGGAAGAACCTGAATCAATGCCAATGTATTTCTCTGACCTGGTTTGAGTAGCATTTATAACATCTCCACTTCCATTGGGTACCCTGTTGGTTAGATATGCTATATACTTCAGTAAACTTTTTATACGTATTTATTTTTCAAACATAATCCATACTTAAAAGGACCACTGGAAATTTGGACAAAGAAAGCTCATTTGCCTGAACTCCCTGCAGGCACTTTCAATCTCTAAACTGGCTCTCCTTGCAAAGACTGCACTTACTGATGATGATGATGGTGAGAGTTCAGCATTACTTATAGATATTGTAATGGGCATGTCTCTCCAGATTTCCGAGGGTATAGAACGTATTTCTTATGTACTTGGTCCTCCATGGCCTGCTGTAACATGTTTTTTGCAGTCACGGTCAGTTAGCTAGTTTCTTATGTCRATAAGAAATTAGGCCCTTTGTTTAGGCAGTTAAGTATGAAAGTTTTGCTGTGAGTGAAAGTATTTCTTTRGAATTTCTTTTCACAGAAGTAAGTGTTGTTTTAGGAGCATGCAAAGTGGTAAAGTATAGGAAGCATGCTAAGATTTCCACTTGTTTGTGATTACAAATAGTCAAGAATTTGTGTTCCAGTAGATTTGTTGTGTTTTTAACCCAAGGATTCAGTTTTTTTATTCTTTTGCTCCATTATTAAAGAGGATTCTTGAAAATACAGTTCTAGATTGATTCAATGCAAGTATATTCAACTGTCTTTTTTTTTTCCCATGCCTGTATATGATGAGTAGCACTTCTAGTTCACAACTTCTTTATAATCACAAATGCTTTTCTTTTCTGACAAAGGTTCAGTATCAAGGTACAAAGCAGTGCAATTAGATGCAAAGTACTGTTTTCTCTTTATAAATATGAAAGTGGGATGCTGAAATGAGAGACCAGATTTCTAATAGCGTAATGTTCTGTGTACTCCAACTTCCTATAGGAAGTAGTAGTTCTCTCTTAGTTCTATGAGCCAAGATTAAAAATAAGACAGTTCTAAGTCTGATGCTGGATATATCTTGCTAAAACAAAAGTTTTCCAACTTTTCTTTCAGAAAATGAGATTCTGCTGACTTGTCTGAGTGTCATAATAGATTTGAGATAGAGTTTAAAATGAAACTCATCTCTTCTGACTGAATCCTGTGAACACAGATTACCTTGTTGCTGTAGACATTGAAGTAAGATTCCATTTTTCTAAAAGGAAGCATTGACTGGGGGCCTTTTTCCTCCCTAAGGTGCAGGTCTTGTCTTTTATAATTTTTTTTCTTGTTTTGTTTTACCTATAGGGGTGTCAGTTAGTGACAAAGAGGTCTCTCCTCCTCTCTGAAGGAGTAAGTTGGATTTAAGGGCTTCTTGTGTTCATTGGCTGCTAGTGCCAATGAACAACTTCATCACATATAAATGCATACATATGCATACACAGATATATCTAATAAGCCTGTACATGAACTGYAACTGTTTTATACACTAGTCTATATTTGCATTGATAAAAATGTTGTGCATTTAATACTTTTCTAAAGAACGTAATGGCAATAAAAATAGAGAACACTATTGCTTCACAACAGGGATTATGCTATTTTCATTACACGAACAGAACCATTTTAATCTGCTACTTTTTCCGTTTTGCTGCTTTATAATAATGGCAAAAAATATATTTGATGAGTATATTTTCCTGACTAAAGCTTGAGAGAAATCCTTGAGAGACACATTTTGTCCTACTATGTAATACATAAACCTTGCTTTAAAAGGTTTTAAAATAGGTATGCATGTTTCAACCAAAAAGGAATTCAARGAAATATGTGGGTTTCCAGATCTTATTAGTAGCACCACAAGAATTTTCCAAATATGCAAATCTCTCCATGTATGTTTTAATTTTGCTAACATTTTGAAACTAYTGTGTTAAATTCAGTTATCTTAAACAATTGTCCATAAACAAGTAGTTTGCCAGGCAAACTGCTTTAAATGTCTGTCTTTCAGTTACACATTTATGTCTTGGGAAAAGAAACTTCTTTGTCACTTGGACATACCAGTAGAATGCAGCTTTTACTAAAGCCACAGTCTGTTTTTTCGAATCTCAACTATTTAAGGGGTTTTCCTACATGCAAAAGCAATCTGCTAAAGTAGTTTTCTATTGGATTGCATTTTGGTCTCGTTTCATGTAAGATTTTCAGGAAAAATCCTGTGAGATTTTCAGGAAAATTGAGGCATTTTGAAAATTTTTTCTTTTTTTTACAGTACTACATTATGCTACATAAAATAAAACTAATTTAGAAAGATACTTTTAAGATGTGTGTGCCTGGATCACTTGTTGATGCTTGGATAGCTGAAGATTTTTTTTTTCCTGAGTTCCATTCCATCCAAAAATAAGGGTTACTAAAAAAAATTGTTCTTTGCAGTCTATTATGTTTCAGTGTTATCGCCATTTCAGCTGTAAAGGAAGAGGTAAATATTGAAAAAATAGGAGCTCTCTTTATCATAAACTATGCCTGCTTTTCATCAAAACTATTAAAAATTTATATTAATATTTTTGCTGTCAAATTTAATCATGTTTTATAARAAAATAATTCTTGCTCACTAATTGAATGATCTAAATAATGAAGCCATCTGACATTATTAAGAGTTTATATTTAAAACTAACTGAGCATTATATAAAGTGCTTTTATTTTGAAATGCAAAAGCACTGAAGCAAACATGAGATATAGTGTGCATTTTTTTTTACTAAGCTTGGGGTTTATTATGATGTAGCACATCTTGGTATTGCTGACTTTTTCATAGGATGTCAATAGAAATTAAATAATATCCCACTTTGCTGACTGTTTGCTGTTACTCTGAAATCAAATTTATATTCACTTTACATTCTAATTTATGGTTTAGTCATCAAAGTGACCGTTGAAGTGTAAGGTTCATAAACAGCTATTTGAATCAGCCCAGTGGGAAATGTGAAATTGTGACGGATTACTGTCATTTTGTCCATGTCAGTCACTGTACAGTTTTCTTGAATGTTATAAAAGGAGCTTTATAAAGCTGAAAAGCATGGAGGAAAACTAATCTCCATCTCAGTCCTCCTCAGCTTGTTGCTAGTTTTCATAAGGTTCAAACTAGATGGGCTGAAGGAGAGAACAACTCCGATTTCTCGCTGTGAGAAATGCATTGGCAAAAGGAAGTTTGAATGGAAAGTTTAGGAAGTTTTGAGGCTGCCTTTGAGGTCCCCATGGGACCCACTGTTGGTTTTTCCCGGCTAGGCCCATATGACTTCATTTGTGAGCAGCTGGTGCGGTTTGAATGTGTTAGTGGTGGGAGTGTTTGCCCCGAAATATAAATGCTGAAATTCAAGATTTCTAAAAGCCACTTTGAAACGATGAGAATACCGTGAGTTTTGGAAGCCTTCCCTGGTTTTCTCTGTGCCTCGCTGTGTCAGGTTTGAGTTTTTTAGTGAAAATGAAAGCTGGCTTAGACCTGTGTGCAGGTCTAGTTCAATGCCTGTTTAATTTCTARGATGTTTCATTGTTACATATTCTTCTTCCATTAGTACTTTTTTTCTTGTTTTCATATTGAAACTGGGAAGCACAATTGGCCTTGTGGTCCAGGTAGGAAGGATTTTTCTGGATTTTCTGGCACATCTGGCTTCGCTACCAAATGCATTTTTCTTGATATCACACAACTGAAGTAAATTYAGATGTCCCAACCTTTGGTTGCCTTTCAAGTAATGCAAACCATCAGAAATCCTCCTTTCTGCAGATCTTTAGCACGGAGATGAAAGGCGCCTGGTGACCTCGCAGGCGACTGGGGTGAGAGGCCCGGCCCGCTGTCGGGCAGTCAGTCGCAGGCCTGTTCCGAGGGAGCAGTCAGCCAGCGAAGACTTTTCATGTGGTTTGAAATGGTCGGCCTCAGCTTGATTTTACTTACAGTTTCTTTCACATGTGTAGAAGAAATAAGAAGAAATTAAGCGTGGCTATTATAAAGGCTGAGRGAGCTGGGCCTGTTCAGCCTGGAGAAGAGAAGGCTGAGGGGGGACCTGATCAGTGTCTATAAATACCTCAAGGGAGGCAGTGAGGAGGAGGGGGCGGCCTCTTTTCAGTGGTGGCCAGCGACAGGACTAGAGGAAACAGCCACAAACTGARRCACCRAAAGTKCCACAGGAACTTGAGAAAACACTTGTTGACAGTGAGGGTGACAGAGCCCTGGMACAGGCTGCCCAGAGAGGCTGTGGAGTCTCCTTCTCTGGAGATCTTCCAAATCTGCTTKGATGCAGCCCTGTGCCMYGTGCTCTGGGTGACCCTGCGTGTGCAGGGGTTGGACTAGATGATCTCTGAGGTCCCTTCCAACCCTAAGGATTCTGTAATTCTCTGATTCTATGAAAGAATCCACTGATGATGATATATGATGATATATATTGATGGTATATATTGATGATATATATTGAGTACTTGCAGTATTTCATCTCCATAGCACTGCAGTGGACATGAAATGCA